AGCTGAGCAGGGAGGCAGCAGAGCTGGGTGCAGCTGCCACAGGTCCCTTGGCCCAGCCAAGCCCAAGCGACTGCATTCCCCAGCCCCAGGGTTCCAGCACGGCTTCAGCCAACTGCCCCTTCTCACCATCACGGGATCCTGGGTGAGCACCAGGAGGCCTCGGAGCGCCAGGCGACGCATCTCTGGGCACTCACTCCTGAGGTGCCTTGAAAGGCTCTGCAGAATGCTGCCTCCCCAGTCACTCATATCCAGGCAGTCCAGGACCTGAAAGGCATGCAGCAGTGACAGGGTGCCCAGCTGGAAGGAGCCCAGACTCGCACAGGGCTGGGCCCTCCAAGAGGGCAGAGAGGTGGAGGCCGCTCGGCCAGGCAGCGCTCGCCATCAGGCTCACCTCCACAAGGAATGCCATGGTGAGGAGCTCCAAGTGGGGCTCTTCCCTGCTCAGCAGCTCCAGCAGGTGGAGTGTGACGCGGGAACACAAGGGGCTGGAGACACGGCGCATCTCCCTGCCAGGGGGAAAAAGGAACCCATTGACCCTGAGCCGGGTGGGCCAACCTCTCCTGGGATGGACTCACATAGGCCTGGTCTTTCCCCAGGACAAGGGCACTTTAGGAGGCGGCTCCTCCTGTGCACCCGCCTCTCCCAGCCTTTGCCACTCTGCTCGACCATCCCTGGGTGACAAGGCCCTCTGGCCCACGACCACGGGCACTGTGTGGGGTGCCCCGTGCACAGGCAGAAAGGACAGGGGCAGCGGGGACAAGGGGGTCTCACCTGGCCAGCAGACCCACTGCATTGTGGCGGGTGTCAGCACTGAGGAGCGTGTCCCAGCCGCGCTTGCGTTCCATTGAAAGCACAACTTCCTCACACTCCAGATGGCAAAGCAGAGCCTTCATTGTCAGCACTGCAAACCTGGGTGCAGAGCAAAGCCCGGGTCATGCTGGGAACCCTGAGCCAGCCCCAAGGGCACAGAAGGCAGGGGAGGACTGGGATGGAGCACCTGTTGGGCTGGGTGGGAAGGTTGTGTTGCTCCCGGCATCCCCTCCAGAAGGTGACGACCTCCTCTGGCGTCTGCTCTGTGCTGATGAGAACTTGGAAGAGCAGAGCCACGAGGAGACAGGGGGAGTACTCTATCAATAACTCTGGGAACTGGAACATCTGCAGAGTCTCCCAGATCACCCTGGTTGCCTGCAAAAGATAAACCATCTGGACACAGCTCTCAGTGCCCAGATGTCCATGTGGCAGGGCCCGAGCATGGGAGGGAGAGGCCAGGGAGGATGCAGGGGGAGCACGTGGCCTGGTGCCCCTGAACCTGCCCCTAACCTACATTTCCAGCCCAGCGCCTGAGGCAGGGAGATGCAGTGCTGGGGGAGGATGGAGAGCCACCG